TGTGTGTGTGTGTGTGTGTGTGTGTGTGTGTGTGTGTGAGAGACATGGAGGGAGGCAGAGGAGGGCCCACAGGGAATGACCTGGTAAAAGGGGGATGAAGCTGTAGAGATGAGAGGTGATGGGAGGGAAAGAGAGATGGACAGAAGAGGTGAAGGTGTAAGTGGGGTCAGGTCGCGACTCATGACCCAACACTGTTAATGCATCTGATGTTTAAACTGATGGTGTCTCATGCTCCTCACAGTCTGGTGGGTCACTTATAGCCAGACCTATCGATACACATCCGTGTCGAGAATGGTCTGCCCGCTCTGATCATCGTTCAGCTTTTCACCTTATTCACAAAGTGGACATTTTCCTCTGACGTCACGATTGGTACGGGAAGCTCAACCAAATCAACGGAATAATGTTGTAATACGTTGCAAGTCAAAAACATAGGAAATTAATCATTTTACTCTTACTGACCAATTAGCAACTGAAGAGACAGTGGATGGGTAAAATCTGGAGGAACTTTGTATCATGTTTTAAAGTAAAACAATTAATCTGATTGCTCAATCATGCCCATTAGACAACAGCTAGCATTTGACCAAATGGCCGACATTTGAAAATGGTGATTAAAGGGAGAAAAAAAACAATCTGCCTTCTTTAAACCAATGACAGTCCTCTTGGGTGGCACTAAGTCAAGGTTACAGCGACAAAATCGCATCAGTGGGGAACTTGTTTTGGTGAAAGGGCTAATCCAGACATGTTCTTTCTTCTTTTTTGATTTACTGAAAGAACCAAACATGCCTACTCTCCTGCTCTAAAATATTTTTCAGCGGAGGAGAATGCAGCTTTAATTGAATGGCTACTATACTCAGAAGAAACCTGGGTCAAAAATCCATAAATTACATTGTTGTATTTCAAAGCTCAGGTCATGAGTGAAAGGGAAATGACAGGAGACACACTAACACTGCCAATTACTGTAAGTCATTGTTTCCACATCAATTTCTCTTTATTTACAGGTAAAGGCGACATGTTTTGATTGTTTAGGTTTGACACAAACCAGAAGATTTATGGAATGAAAGGACATTTTTAGTTTATTGCAGTTTGGGTCTCCATCATTTGTCTTGGATATAAAAACCCTGTAGGCACCAGAGTACGCAGCAATGCAATTTCCAACCAAAATTAAATCAAGTCAACAGGTCAGCCAGATCATCTAAATCACTCTGTTTGACAGTAAAAACAGACAGTAGGTGTCAGTAATCAGCCGTTATTGGACAAAAAAGCTACAGCAAATATTGTAAGAAACAGGCACTCTGTTATTTAAAACAAACATTTTGGGTAATACGTTTATCGTTCATTAATGTTGCTGCTTCCAAAGCATTTTGGCTAACATGTGGGTTTGATCATCTGATTACTTTTGTTTCAGACATTCTGTATTTACACAGATTTGACAGCTTGATTGTTTTTCGCAGTTCTTTTATTTGCCCCTCGCAGCCAATGGACCCAAAGAAGGGTGTTTTTAAACTAATCACATAACTTAACGATAACTTCACTTCTTCCTATAATTCCCCTCCATTCTCTTACCATTTTTATCTATCTTTGTAAATTCATGAGTTGAAATCATACAGCCTCAGGACATTCACATTTTCTATTTGCCCAAATTAGTCCCACTGAGGGCTAATTTGGGTTCATGTGTCATTAGCCCTGAACAGGATCCAACTTGTATGAAAGTGGAGTCTTGTAATTGCATGTAACATGTGCTCATCACTATTTGACCACTTACCTCAAGTGTTCAGATACGGCATCATTTAAACAAGCTGTGACTGGGTGGCTTTTATCATCAAGGTCTTGATCAGGTTTATTCTGACACAAGTGTCCCTGTGTGTGACCAACAGCTGCTTCTGTCAACAAAGGGTGCTGCCTTGGAACAGAGTAGAACTTACGAATAATGACACCGTTAAATTAATGACCTCCAGTCCACAGGGTCTGCTTCATTCGAGGTTGATGTTCGGTGATGGAAATGAGACTCCTGGTAAATCTAAGCAGATGTGTTGCTCCATCATGTAATGGTTATAAAAACTTAGGGAAATCTCTCTTCTTTGAATGATGATGAAACAATGGAAACTTGGTGTACAGTTGGAGTCGAAACAATCATCTTGTTGCAACAACATTCACACCAGAAACACTGAAATGCTTCCTGGAGGATCCTGCAGAAATGCAAAGAATATTGGCAATGATAAAGCCACAAGAGCTACAGATATGACACACAGATGATTGTGAGTCAAACACAGTGTAACACAGCCATGAATACGCCCATGTGGACGGCCCGTTCTTTAGCTCTGTGGGTTGCTGCCGTGGGAGCAGTGTGACTGTGAGAGCCTGGGGGTTTGGGGCCAGGAGTGGAGTAGGAGTTTTATGGCAGGAGGCTCCACTGGAGCTGAGTTAAAACAATGACTTTGAGTGACGGTATTGATCTCTCTTAGGGTCTCTGGGTATAGCTCAGACAAACTGAAGCCACTTACTGCTGCAGGCTGCCCATGGCGATGGATGTAGAGTGGCTATTATGGGATTTAAGGTCATCAGAGCCTGTCTGTTGAAACAACTTGGTCGTCTTGTGCTCAGAGAGCAGTGAGAACAGTTGTCGGCAGATAATGGTGGAATACTTCATTGGCGATAGTCAGTGAGGTAAGAGTACAAGATTGGTTGAAGTATGATACACTTCAGAGGTGATGCTGGACTCCAAAAACAACAAAATAAAAGGACAAGTGTTAGGCTTTGGTTAAGTCTCTGTCTCTTGTGGCCATTCGGTGCATGTACTGCCATCATCTTTCCTGGAGCTGCTGATAGAACTGTGTGCAGTAGAGTGGTACTCGAGACAATTTCATGGGAAAAAAACATTTGGCTACAGCACGAAAATGTGCCTATTGATCAAAACTAATTACAAATCAAAAATGCAGGCAATTGTAAACCCTATAACCTTTTCTCTTTCAGTTGTTGTCTTTGAGCAGTCAGCAGAGCAAGGACAGGACTTCTGCCTCTATTGACCCCAAAGGCCTCCATGACCCCCTAACAATATGTGCAAACACACA